GGTCCCGCGACGCCATCTTAACGGACGTGTTTTTCCGCCGATGTAAACAAATCTCGCTGGAATTAATCGGGGATTTTTCTCAAGTTCCGTGCGCCTTTTGAGCTTTTTCCCCTTTCCTCCCCTAGTCTACTTTATTTGGTGGAAGAGGAGGAGAGGAAGAAAGAAGAGAAGAGGGAGAGAGGTAAGGAAGAGGCTTTTATTTTTATTTGGGCGATTTTTTGGGTGGGAGGAAGAGTGAAATTTTCGTGTGTTTTGCTTTTTCTCTCTTCCTCTGCGTCGGTTTTATTCTGCGTGTTTCTCCCCCGTGGCTTAAATAACGCAGTGGGTGTTAATGAAGTGACGAAAGAAGAGAAAAGAAAATCAATAGAAAGAGAGAAACGAGAGAAACGTAAACAAAACTCGAAAGACTGTAAACAAACAAAACCCAATCCCATATTTTTCCCAATTTCTAGAAGAAAAAAAGGAACAAAACGATTAGAAGTGAGAACTAGCGATAAAGAAACGACGAAAGAGTGCGAAGAGGAGAAGTGAATAAACAGGAAATAGAGCGAAAGTGAAAGAACGCCCAAGAGTGGCTTTTTCGAAAGGACCGAAGGATACAGCTGAGGAATTTACCCGTCAATGTCGCCGTTTTAGTGATTTTGGTGATTGTTATTCCACTTAAAATACGTGATATATCCCGGAAAAATTGTTTCCAAGATGAAATTGTGTTTGTGAGTTGTATTTCGAGGAGCAGAGTGACGATTTCGTTGAGCCAGAATGGACGGCGAGTGTTTGGAGTGTAGGAATGCTCAATTGCCACCAATGATTATTAATATAAGGTGCATGGAGTGGAATTAAGTGTGATGCGATCATACAGAAGGAAAAATGAGATGGAGTATGTTGTTTCACGGAGAGTCCGTGCTGTTTCCACCGACGGGGTTTGTGCCACGGCACTTTTGCTTAGAAGAGGGGATGTTCAAGCTGGTTTGTGCCGAAGGAAATGCGACTTGTATTTTGTGGCGGATTAGTTTGTAATTTTCTAGAACTGGTCGGTATCTTGAAACCTGTTGAATTTGGTACTAAGGGACTCTTTATGGTGTCTAAATGTGCATATATAAGAGCTTTTGTTGACAATTTGTCAAAATAGACATAATGGGGGTAGACTCTTAGATATTTGTGTAATTTAGTTATTGTTTGGGTGCACTGCTACCCCCCAAACCCCCATCCGGATGTTGAAATCTCCATTACGTCTAATAGCTAAGAAAAAGCTCAGAGAGGTACAAGTGACGTGCATGACTCTGGGAAAGGAAACTTTTCTTTTGCGCTTATTCCTGAGTTGCTGTGCACATTAAAAGTTTTCAGATTTTTTATACATAATTATTGTGTTTTTTTTTTTTCCCTTTTTTTTATGATAGTTCCTCCAATAGGAGTCCATCATTACCAAATTTGATGGGTGTGATAAAGTGGACGTGTTCTAGAAAATGCCCATGTTATTTACTATACGTGGTCAATTTTAGATGGAGGTGCCAGTCTGCTGGCACTGGTATTGGTCCCTGTTTTGACAGGAAATGTTAAAGGTGGTCTATAAATTCTTCTAGCTTGCAGAATCCATATGGTGGAATGCTCAAGTCATTGCAAATGATTTTTGAAATATAATTTTGAATTTGTGACCAGGTTCTGTAGTTCTTGTTCTCTTGTTCTTTTTTTCATTACTGAGTTCTTTTGTATTTCTTTCAATTTCCTCTCTCTCCATGCATATGTTTGTACCAAAATTAATCTAGAATTTTATATATTTATATATACATATATATATATACATATACATATATACATATATATATATATATACATATATCGTATACGTATACTATATTATACGTATACATATACATACACATACACATACACATACACATACATTACAATACATAACATACACATACACATATACAACATATAATATACATATACATATATATACATATACATATACATATACATACATATACATATACATATACATATACATATACATATACATATATATATATATATACATACATATATACATACATATATATATATATAATTCTATAGTGGTAGCAGCTAACAAAAACTAGGATAATCAGGCTCCATGTGTATTTTAGTAGATGGCTACTGTACTGAGGACGATGAGCTTAGTGGTCTCGATGCTCAAGAAACTATTATATTATTCTTATTTCCTTTCACATGTATATTGCTATTATTCATGTGTACAAGAGGAATTCATCAGTTAGGAGAAAGAGCAGTCAAAAAGGGGTATGGGGACATTGCCCTTGGGTTGGCAAATGCGGTAATCATTTGGGATCTCGGAGGCAACACCCTCAGGTTATGAAGGATTTTGGTTCATAGAGTGATTTTTGTGGTGGTTTGTGCATTTGTTATGGAATTCATTTATTTATTCAAGTTTGAGGTTTAGTCTGACATGTGAGGTCTTGTAAATGTTCAAAGTTGTCTTGGTATATTTGGAGGTGAAATCTTTGAATTACAGTTCAGGGATCCAATTTTTTAATGCTTTACTTTTTTTTTCTTTTCTTTTCTTTTCTTTCTTTCTTTCTTTTTTTCTTTTTTCTTTTCTTTCTTTTTTTTTTCTTTCTTTCTTTTTTCTTTTCTTTCTTTCTTTCTTTCTTTCTTTCATTCTTTCCATCTGTTTTTTTTATCATTCTCATAAGATGATCCAAGGTAGCAACTACAGGTTTTAGCATATATTTGAATCCCTGCGTGTGTCTAACTGTTGCGGCCTTTGCACTTCCCTGTTGCTACTTCTGATATCCCCATCTGAAGTCTTTTTAAAAATCTCATGTTCTATAGCATAGTCACTGGAGAGGGGAGAGCTATCCTGGTAATATATAAAAAAATTCTTTGTATGGTAGTTTTAGAAGAAATTGCATAGTATTCTCTAGTGTCCTCCTCACAGTTGACCATATTAAGATACCGTGCCAAATAGAAGATATTGCTAGGATGCGTGTTTATACTCTCATTGCAACCCCAATGGAAATTATTGGTTTTGGTTCAATATGCATTCAAGGATAAGTTGCGTAAAGAAAGGAATTCTGGTTTCTAAATTAATCATGGTAATAAGAATAAAAATTTGTAGGCCTACACAAGATTAAAACTTTTGAGCTCTTCATTATAGGTATCCTTTGCGTTATTGATGTACATATTGTAAAAAATTCAGGTGCATTTGATAAATGTAGGTTATTGCACAGGAATTTACCATTGTTTCAGATACTGATTAAACTCTAAATTTGAGGGATGTTCTTAGGATTTGTTAGTATGGTCAGCTCAGGGGTCTTATAAGCCAGGGCTTAGTTCTTATTGCTTTTTCAGTAGTGAGTCCAAGATGCTTTTCGTGTAATTATCCTAGAGGATCCTTATTTTTAATAGATATGAGCTTCTAATCAGGTTAGGTTATACTTCACCATACCCAGTTGGAATATAACTTGCATACTTCTCGTGGTTTTATGCAGATCTATTATAGCCAGTGGTACTTCACCCCACTAATCACTGTGAATTAGATAGCTGGTTATGCTATATTTTCATTGACTAATAAGCATCCGTGAGTCCTGGATGCTTGAACCAACAAGTGGCCAATGATGTTATTTGCCTCTTGCCGATATGATGCCACAGAAAAAGATAGTGTTTTGTGGAAAATTTGACAAAAATACTTGCAGGCATAGTTTCCTCTAGTAGCACTGTCCTTATGGATTTAGTGACTGTTTTAAATGGTAAAATAATGCTGAAATTTAGTAAAACTGGAAGATCAGTTGAATTGATGTTTGAAAAGTTTTTATTTTTTCATGACCAGAAATAAGTACTAAAAGTTCCTTGTCAGATTGAGAAAGTGGGCGGCCACATTTATTCGTTCCCTAATTATTGAATTAGACATTTTTATAAATTTGATTTAGAGAAAATTGGTAATTATGAGTAAATGCCACTGAAAGGATGTATGCCCTTTCACCTAAAATAAATATAACACCTAAATGATAACTTTTGCAGAATCTCTTGTGTGTGAATGCAAACAAGATAGATATATAAATGTAGCCTTGCAAATTGTACAACTATCACTAGAAACTATTATGAAAAGTCCTCACAGGAATACATGCCTCAGTGTTTTTAATTGGCAAGATTTTAGGTTTGTAGCTTCAATGAATATTTATTTTTGAAGGAATGTGGAATTGGGGAATGTTTTGATATTTATCTCTAAGCTTGCATATGAGAAACAGGTAATAGAGGGGGTAAATTAATAGTTTTTACTGTGAAATTGGTCTGCATATAGGCTTATATCTACAAATCACTCAGCATTATGGTGAGCAAAGTGGGTTCCATGTGGAGAGGGAGATGTATTTATTTTTTTGATGAAGATTCTGCTGTGGATACTTACAAGTATTTTTCTTCTATTTTCAGGAATAAACCACCATGTTTTACGCACATTTTGTGCTGGCCAAAAAGGGCCCCTTGGCCCGAATTTGGCTGGCCGCTCATTGGGATAAAAAGCTCACAAAAGCTCATGTCTTTGAGACTAATATTGAGAAGTCCGTTGATGGTATCTTGCAGCCAAAGGTAACGCTCATTTTTATTTATCATTTTATATGTATATATTTCTCTTTTCTTCGACTGTATGTGGAATGTGTAATACTGCATTTCTTTAAATACTCTTCTTATAGTGCCTGTCAGTCATTATTTGTATATTGATTTTTTCTTTACAATTTGTTTATTAGGTAAAGATGGCATTGAGAACATCAGGTCACTTGCTGTTGGGTGTGGTCAGAATTTACTCCCGAAAGGCCAAGTATCTCTTGGCTGATTGTAATGAGGCCTTTGTCAAGATCAAAATGGCCTTCAGACCAGGCATGGTCGATTTGCCTGAGGACATCAGGGAGGCAGCAGTCAGTGCCATCACACTCCCAGAGGTATTCCACGACTTTGATACCGCCATGCCAGAGCTGAATGACGTTGACATCCAGGCACAGTTCACTCTCAACCAGTCACGTGCTGAAGAGATCACAATGAGGGAAGACTATGGCAACATCTCCTTGGTGACAGGTGATGATGGCTTTGGAGACATGGGCTTCGAGGAACCCCCAGATATCATGAGGGATGCATCTGCCATGGACCAGACTTTAGACCACCCTAACCTGATCTTTGGCGATAACACCCCCTTGGACAAGGAGAAGGAACCCAGTGCATCCAAGGAGCAAGACTCAAGATTGTCCACTGCAAGGGCAGACACCTCAGCTCTTGACCTTGAAGCACCAATCAGAGACGATGGCTTTGGGGGCAACCTTGGGCAAGACATCATTGCTGGTGGACTTTTTGAAGGTGGGCTTTTCGATGACACACCCATTGGGGACGGTCCGAGTCTTGATGAACCCAAAGAAGAGAGACATGACGACTCTGATGATGACGGACTTGATAGGTTTGCAGGTCCTCCCTCAGTTGGCCCGCCATCTTCAGAGGAAGGTTCTCGCCCATCTACTCCCAAGCCTGAGAATCCAGATCCGGTTGAAGCCGATGAGGTCCCACCACCGGAAGGTGTGGAAGCAGCTCCTCAAAGCCAAGCTAATGAGACACTTGCCGGGCACGAGCAAACAACTTTGCTGCAGAATGAAGAGGAAAGCTTTGCCCTTGCCCCAGTGGATGCCTCTGCCATCAAGTCAGGTTGGCCGCGTGCTAAGAGGAAGAGGAAGCTGATTGTTGATGAAGTGAAGAATATTTCTGGTGAAGAAATGAAGGCGCAGCTCTCAGACACAACAGACATTGTAACCACCTTGGACCTGGCCCCACCAACCAAGCGTTTGATGCACTGGAAGGAAACTGGTGGTGTGGAAAAGCTGTTTGCACTGCCTGGTCGCCCAATCTATGCCCGCTCCCTTGCACGTATTTACCAGAGACACCTCACCTCGGAACCTGCACAGAACGAGGACTTCGGCATGGCAGGAGACAGGGAACTGGAGAATCTCAGCTTAGAAGTGGTAAGAGAGAATTGTTATTTTGACATTTTTTATGCTATAAAGATATTGAAAATCTGAAATGCTATTGACATGGATGTTATGCATAGACCTTAGATTTTAAATTTCCATTACCTAGGTGCGTGAGGCCGAGGAGCAAGAAACACCAGCCGCCCCCAAGACAAGAGGTCGACCTCCAAAGAGAAAGCACCCAGAACCAGAAGAAGAGGAAGAGGAGGTTTGTGCCTTTGCTTTGCTTTTTGCTTTTGCTTTTTCCAGTTTCCATTGAATATATAGGTATTGATTCAATTGAATATTTATTCTTTATGTTTGAAATTTATCTTTTATTTATTGCATTTCTAGAACATTAGAAACTTGTAACCATTTTAAATTTATTGTTAATGCTTTAGTTTACATCATTGACATTCCCTAGAAAATGGATATGATAGATTAAGAAGAAAAGATTCTCTTATCACTTACACTCACTTTATATTATTATTTCCTGCCCTTTTGCTTTGTTGCTGAAATGCTTTTTATTTTTTATTTCATTTGAGTGCATAATATTCCTAACGTAAATTTCCTCAAGGGCAGAATAGGTCATTCAGTTCACACCACTCACCGTATCTAGCCACAGGTTCTGAGCATGTCAACGAGAAACATGGACCTCAACAACCAAATGATGTCGCCACAAGCCCCAGAGACCCCAGCACCTCCAGCCCCTTTGGAGGAACAGCCTCCGACTGCGCAAACTCCTGCTCCTGGTGGCGATGTCATTACTCTGGACGAGGTATGGTTTGAAATTTTTGTTATTGCCATTATTTATTTTCTATTCGGTATTTTATTGCTGATTTGAGAGCTTATAGAGAAAGTTAGACTAAGTTACGTTTCCTAGATGTATTTGAAGAACAAACTTGTGAAGAAGGGGGAATATTATTATGAATTACGACCTTTTTTTGTTTATTATCTTGATTAGTTATGCCTATCTCAGTTTATTATTTTTATATATTATTTCTAGTTTTGCCTATCTTCATTTTCTCCTTTCCGTTCATAGGCTGCCGAGAATCCACAGACTCCAGGCATTCCGGACGAGGCTGCTGTTGCCAACCAGGAACCTGTTCCCCCAGAAACCCCAGCCCCAGCTACTCCTTTCCACAATCCAGAACAGCCACCAGAAAGTTTACCGAGTCAGGTATTTACCAAGATGGGTCAATGTCTTTATTATATTATTATGCATATGTGTTTGTGCTGTCTCTATGCAAGTCAGTGTTGAGCGTTCAGTCGGGATTTAAGGCCAGGTATGATTTGGGTTAAGGTGCTTCCTTAATTTTATATTTTCCATTAACAATCCTGCTCTGACCAATTCTTGACGCACTTCACTTTTGGTTCATTTTTGTTTGCACCGTTGTTTTAATTACGATAGTATCGTCCAGATCCCTGAGAAAAGGACATACACAGTCAGGTATGATCTAAGTTGCTACCATTTTAGGAAAAGTTGTGAATATGATGAGAGAGCCCAGACTTCACATTTAAATATCGTAACTTTTTAAAATGATCATGATATTATTTGCAATTAACCCATTCACGCCGGGTACATTTTGTAGCCAAAATAAAAAAATCCAGACGGCTACAAAAATCGGCGGGCGGAGCTTCCCCGGAGTCTGTCCGCCTGCCCGGCCGCGCGCTGCTGCTGTGTCGGAGCACAGCCCCGATACAGCGTCACACTGGCGGGCCGCCCGGCAATGTTTATTTTTTCCGGTGTCTCATATATGTGACACACGGAACGAATGTTTCAAGTTTAATTTTGCAAATATGCTGCTTACATTGCAATCTTGCATATAAGTTTCACACCATAATAGAAAGGTAACGTTGATTAATAACTAATCAACTGTGAGATCTAGGCTCTAGCATTACATTTCTATCCTTTGCCTTAATAATGGTAACAGGGTATAATTCAGGCTTATATTTGTGTTTGCCTTTTCTGTTGTCCCTTTTTGTTATTCTTCTGTTCGACTAACTACGGCTTAAAGCGGTAGACGGCGAAGGATTCAATCAGGTACGACTTTTTGCTTACCCCTATGTCTTATGCTTATTCTGTTAATGCTTCATCCAGACGCCCGCATACGCCACACCCTTCCAGAGTCCGATGCACATGGAGTTGGAGAACTTGGGATTCGACGAGGTAGGAACAAATCACACGGAACAACCAGTGTACCTTTACACCCTTACGTAGCTGATTCAGAAAATTTGTTGTCTTGATTTAAGCACTAGGTTCCTGTATTTTAGGATTTTAAAGTTTTTTGTTTATTGTTGAAGGGGGTTTAATTCTGATGTTTGTTTTAACTTTTTTTTTTTTTTTTACAAACAAACCTTATCAAATTATGTAGCTTTTGATATCATTTCCTAACAAACATTTACAATCACACTACATCAATAACTTATGCTTTTCCACTTTTGTTGTAACTAATCTCAAAATCTCTCTCTCAGAATCAGCCTCAGCTGGAAAATCATGGTTACGAGGAGTCTCACCCCCCAGCCAACACTCCAGGAGGGTTGTCAGATGGTGGACCAAGATCGAATTATTCAGAACGGGCAAACACCCCTACTACGCCATTCAGACAGGACGAGGCCCATGAGGAGGAGGTTCGTTTGATTTACTTTGTTATTTATACATCGTTGTTTTTATTAATTGTTCCTTGATAAGGCTAGGTGGTTCATCAAAGCAGTGATATTGAAAGGATATTCTGAATACATAGCTTTAGATAGTCAAAGTGATTTGAACAAATCATCTAACTTCAAATCTCTTACTGTTATTGCTTACAATAGTGTGTGAAGGTAGGTTTGCAGAATAGAATATAACTTCTCCACAATCTATAGAGGTATTCACTAAGCCAGTCTTTTATTCATGGGAATTCTGATTTATGATACATCAAAGTATTGCCTTTAGATATCCGCTGCCTATAGATATACCAACAGTACAGGTCCTGTAAAGGTTTTACTTGGAAGAAAAAAAATAGAAAATGGAGAATTAAAGTGATATGACAAATAATTGATTTGAGTATAAGTGTATATCTTTATTGTGGACCATGTATATCTTGTGGTATATCAGCTCATTGAGACCAATATTTGGTATTTGGTGAATACTTTCATAGTGAATCAGTTCATCATTAAACAAGTTATTTTGATTTTTATTATTGCAATTAGATATTTGAGACACAAAAGAGCAATACACTTGTTTGAATGGTTTTATGTGTTATTCACCATCCACATGTTGTTTTACACAAAGAATATTATTGTTTGTCTTGCTTGTATTATTTCTGGTATTTTTATTAATTTTATTATTTGTTTATTTTTCTATTATTTAAAAGTATTTGCTGTTATTTTGTCAATAGATATTCAACATTGTGACTATAGATCACAAAAGATTAATTTTGGTATCCGATTTTCTTTATTTTATTAAAAAAAAAGAAAAGTATTTATTTATATATATGTATGTATACATGTTTACATACATGTATACTTCATTGCATAAAGGTAAAAAGTTGATTATTCTTACCATTGCAAGAGAACTGAATAATGCATAGTGAATATATAGGGAACAGAATCTTGTTATAAATTCCAGTTGAGAAGTGAACTGTTTTGATGTAAAATTACTGCATTTGCAGTAGTAATCAGTTCACAGTTCTTTCCTACCTGTGTTCAGTGTTACATTTATGGAACTCAATGAATAACTTTTTTCCATAGGAGGAACAAGCAGACGATGAAACTTATGAACAATTTGAAGAACGTGTGGTCAACAAGCGTGCTGGACACATGTTCCACTCCATTAAGAGGAGGCTAAGAAACAACAACATATTGTTCTCAGACATGGTTCACCAGAACAACAGAAAGCAGGTAATATTACTTCACAATTACTTTTCCTTTGAGTTTATGCATTTAAAAAATGTAATTCTTTCATATTTTGTATTTTTATAATGTGTCACAAATTTACTGAATTTTACCGGAACTGTATATGAAGATTTTTTTTTTTTTTTTTTTTTTTTTTTTTTTTTTTTTTTTTGTATTGATAGTTAAATTTATTCCAATTAGGTGGCACAGAAGTTCTACACGATGTTGGTGTTGAAGAAGCTACAGGCAGTAGAACTGCATCAAGAGGGTCCCTTCACAGAAATGTTCATCAGCAGAGGTGCATTATTTGAAAATGCATCCTTATAAATACACCCTTCATTTGGTGAGATGTGTGTGTGTGTGTTTACTGTACGTTTAAGGAGGACCAAAGAGGCTATTTCACTGTGCCTAGGACAAGGGAAAGTTTCAACTGTACATATATCAGCACCTGGTTGACTGCAGAATTAGCCAAGAAAAAGGACTTTTGGACATGGTAACATATCGGTTGATATGTGTGTGGACGTAGATTATACATCAGCACTGGAACTTAGGGTTCTTGTTAGTGGGCAAGAACACACCTTACTTAGGATTAAACTAATCAAAATATTTACAGAAATATTAACAGAAATGATATTTGTGATTTATGGTTATCTAGGTTCATGGCAGAATTTTTATAACATTGGGCAGAAATTACTCAATTTCAAAACCTTTAGTAACACTGTTTATATATATAAAGATACATGTGTGCATATTTAGTTATGTATGTATTTATACATATATATATACAAAGATACTGATTGGGAAATGATAGATTTACATAGGTGTATGCAAAAGAATGGTTATTATTACTGTTGTAATCTTTTATTTATTGTATAATATTTTATATATGTATTGTTGGTATACCAAATTGAAATTGGATTACCTCATGCTGAGTCCTGGATCCAAATCCTGGTCACAGTACCTTTAAGGGGTAATATTGCCGGGGAATGTCTTTCATGGGGGAAATATTCAAAATTACAAAAATGATATATAATAACTTTGTTGAAAATGGATGATTATTAAGAAAATGATTACAATAACAGTAATAATCACACAACACTTTTTCTTGTGAAGGAAAAGTAATGATCATACAAAAACAAAGTAGTATTCATTGTCAAAATTTGGGTATTTTGTTTTAAAAGTTACTCTTTTTGTTGGAGAAGCAAGTAATGCAGAATATTTAGCCTTGCATTGCTCTGCTTGATTCCTGTAGTACAGGTCAAAGTTGACTCCTGCCTTTAAGGTATATTATTTACAAGTGAAGGGCATCATCAGTTCTATTGTTTTGAGAACTTTAAACTAAACTTTTTTCTTTTTTTTTTTCTGGGACAACCCATTTTTATATGTATATAAAAACCAATATTATCTTGTATTATCATTGTGATTTTTAAAACCTGTTCTGCCCATAGCTAGATTCAGATTTTGTACATGAAGGGTCTCAAAAAGGTTGGTTCACAAGATATGGTTATACTTTTTTAAAGAGTAGAAGAGGTCTTATGTTTGAGGTCGCTCCACTTGGAAGAAAATTTGTGTGAAAGGTTTAATTAGATGTGAAACAGAAGTAACCATTTCGGTCTTGTCTTGGTTTCGAATATTCCCAATGTGTTATGGTGGCATGAACTGCCCCCTTAGTCGTGCAGCCTGGTGGTTGTAAAGCAGATGTGCTATTACTTATCATTTTACTTGCTAAAGAGTTGAATATACTTACCACAATAGCAAAAAAAGACTAATGTGTATATGGTTATATTTTAGTTCTGATGTTACAATGTCTTAACCATCCCCCCACCCCCCACCCCCTCACATTTTCACCTCCTCATATTCACTTTCACAAGAATTGCATTAAATTTCCAAATTCAGATTTTTGTAGTCCTTGATTAATGAGAATTCTAAATGAGATTTCAGGAAAAGAGCTAAGAATGTTTTTTTTATTTTTCATTTTTATTTTTATGTCTGGTTTTATTTTCTTCCTGTGGCTATCATTGTGTTTTGCATATCTTTGTTTCTGGGTCCGATCGAGGAAGTGTGGTGCCACTGAAGTACAAATTTTCTTTCATGAATGTGTAACTTTTCCTTTTTTTTCCATTTTCTTTTTTTTTTTTTCTTCTTTTTTCTTTATGCAAAGTAATGCCTGATGTCTTGTTCAGATTGCTTGCCATAGATGTCTCATAGTTAAATTTATATATTGAGTATTAGAGGTCTTGCAGCATCTGACGAGCCACTTGCCATTACCAGACAGCATTATGCAAAACAGTGATTCCACTGGGAAGGTAAACTTTACTAGAACATTTCACAAGTGTTTGTCTGTGTGTGTATAAAGAATGAGAATTTGTATTATTTGTAGAGATTTTTGTATTTTCCTTTATATGTATTTGTATGTCACATATGTGTATACGTTATTGGTGAAAGGCATGTGAGAAAAGAAAATTTACTGTACAAATATATTATATGTAATGCTTTTAACTATATCAGAGGATTTTATGAATCATTTGTAAAAATTGTCTGATATAGTATTTAAGCATTATGAAGTTGGTAGTGTGTGTGTGTGTGAGTGTGTCTGTGTGTTTGTGTGTGCATTTGTGATGCAAAAATAGGGTAAGGATCTATGGAAAAATGCAGTTCATGTTGTGTTGGTATATTGAATAAAGCAGTTTACAGATATTATTTTCAGTGTTATCACCAGATTGGATGTAGAAAGGAAGCAAAAAGAAAAAAAAGCAGAGTATTTATAAAAATTTTAACAATAAAATGAAAAGCAATTTGAGTGGTGTGTTTCATTTAATAAGACCTAAAATTCCAACCCAATAAACCAAACTACCACCAGAATGGATTAAAAACTACCATGGTTACATGCTTATCTCCCAGATTGACATTTGTTTATATCTACCTATTCACATTGAAGTGTTTGATATTTATTAGGATGACTACTGTTTTACATTATTTTATGTTGGTACTATGAGAAAATTAGTTAATAGCCAATAATCTAAAGTAAAAAGGAGGGTACTGTTGGGAGATTATATTCTTGAGATTATTTTTAGCTGACCTTTTTAGCTCAAACTTTGAAAAAAAAGTACATTTACTTTAAATTACATGTTAATGTTGCATGGCTGAATCTAGGCTGTTTGAAAATGAAAACAGTTTTCAGGTTTAGGTTATGTATATAGTCAAATGGATAGATAATTCAGGCAAACTTCAGCACAACTCTCACTTCCTCTTAAGGAAAATGTTTACTCTTTCATCACAGACAAGGAATGTTGACTTCTGCTATAAGTAAATAAACTTTCCAACTTTTACATTTTTTCTTAAGCAATAAATTGATAACTGATGATATTTTACCATGAGAGACACAAAGGCCATGACAAATTGCTGCGTCAACAACTGTCTTTAGCGGCATATTCAAAATGTAGTAATAGAGAGAGTCTTGTACATAAGGTGAAATTTGTGGATTCCCAGAATGTTCATGGCCAAAACAAATGTTTGGCAAAAAGGCCAAAAATGAGTTAGATGTCAGTGGTTGTAGAACGCTGTAGGTTAGCATGGTAATAATAAGGGTAAAGAAGGAAAAGCAAACAGTATGAAGGCTATTCAGGACTGGCACATCCTTTCAGCACAACACTTCAAACTAGGATGTGGACAAAAGAAAAAGACAAAAGAAAAGACCATGCAAAATAAGTTCAGGTAAGGGCTGATGTCCAAGGTAGGGGTGATCCCCTACCTTTGGGTCTGTCTCCATCTCCTATAAGCTCCTGCACAAGAAGAAGCAAGGGATTGGGTGTATGTGACAACAGAAATGCTTTTTAACAAGAAATAACTTGATAGTCTGTATTTTTTCTGTTCCTATGCATATCCTGTCACAAATATCACACACGAAGCAGGAAATAGAAAATATATTAAAGATTCAAAACTTATCCTAGTTTATAGATAATGAATTAAAAGTATGTAATGCCATTTGCAGTTTTGCTTTTAAATACAGTGCATATAAGGGAAAGCCAATTCAATTACAAGATTAAGGTGCCATGGTCTGGTGAAAATTTGTACAGGACAATGATACAAGTTCGGTAAACAGCATAACTGTGATAAGGCCAAAAAAACATGAAGTGATAAAATTCCCTTCTCATAAAAAATAGCATATCTATATTTTGAAAAATTAGCCAAGATCCCCATACACATCAAGTCTAGAGCACTAATCCCCTCAAAAAATATCATGCCACCACCAACCATGGGTATATCAAACCCAAATATTAAAATTTAATAAAAAATTAAAGAAAATGCCAGTCCTTTTAATTTTTCTGAAGTAACTGGGCTTTCTTTAATTTATCCAACCTGTCAGACATCCTTACAGAATCCCCCACCTTTTCTATTGATAATTTATTCTCTCTCCTCAAATGCATAAATATCCTTCATTTGATCTAACCATCCATCGTCCTTAACCCTTCCTCTTTTCATCAATACCTATCCTACCCCCATCTACCCTCTCCTCCTACTCCTTTAAATACTATACTATCATACAATAAATGACTGTCAAAACTTAACATTTTAACTCTAATAAAGAACTTTAAAAACCCTCCCAACATAATACAATACCATAGTCCTATATGCCTTTGATGTCTAGGACATTTATTTTCTTGTCATTATTACTTACTTACTTCTTTAATTTATCTAATGAAAGACAAAATCATGTACAGGTACGGGCAATGAAAACCAAAGAAAATATACCACTGCTTGAAAAATATCACCTAAAATACAGTTATCCCTTGGCTTTGATAAGGTCAACTTTTATTTCCTTTCTGTCATTTGGCTATATCCTGAGTCGGTGATCAATCTTTAAGCAGAGCTATCTACTATAAGGAGTTCAATTTAAAAAATTGCCTTTATTTACTTATTTTTTCTTTCTTTCTATTTAAAAGAATTCTTAAAATTTCATAATTACACCTAAATATGAATGATATGCATGTTGTATTCATTATACACCAATAAAAATACTCAATCATGTGGGCACATGTCTGTATATGTGAGTGCATGCTTGGGTGTGTGTGTGTATGTCTGTATGTGTGTAACTGTCTCTCTCTCTCTATATATATCTGTTTATATATATGTATGTATATATATATACACACATTTATGTATATATGTGTGTGCGTGCATGTGTGTAGGTATGTGTAAGTGTGTATGACCGAATTTGCATCTGGATGAGTGTGTGTCTGTATGTGTGTGTGTGGGTGTGTGTGATTGTGTGTGGATGTGTATATATGTGTGTGTGTTTTCCTGATCGTACAATTCCTCACACTCAATATGATCCTCACCATCAGAGCTTTCACCAAACAAAATTTCTTCCACATTTAGTTCAGGGATGCTTTTCTTCTGTTGAGCCATTTTTCTAATATTATTTGAAAGAAAAATGAATCAAGTCTAGGTACAGGTCATACTAATGCTAATACCACCTTATACCATTACCATCAGTGCATCACACCTGCGGAATATTACCACCATCACTAATCATGGGTATAGCACACCCAACTTACATTACCAAAACCACTAACCACAGGTACAGGACACCCAACTTACATTACCACGAACACTAATCACAGGTAGAGCACACCCAACTTACCAAAAACACCATAGATGTGAAACACCATTACTTCTGTAACTGATAATCACTAACCATGAGTTCCTTACACCTGAAAGTGGGTCTTGAGCAGATAGTCACGGACAGAGAGTTAGGATATGATGTATCCATCAAAGCCGATTGGTAAATAAGAGTACCAAGATAAATGCAACTTTTATGCATCAAGCAATCTTGTAGACTCAACTTCATTAAAAAACAACATATTGCACATACAGTATGTTATATGAATTGCTATGGTAGTATGCAAAGCTTAGTAGGTCAATTTCACATTTTTTTTATAAGCCTTGCTTCTTTGAACAGTAATAAAATATGATACTTTTTCATGTTTTTCCACTAATGCTTTGCTGGTACAACATTCCATTTTCATGTATATTATTCATTTTTGTCACATTTTCTAATGTTATACTGGCTCATATAAAATACAAAATCATCTGATTAAATGAGAGAGAGAAGAAGCAGGTAGATCCAAGACATACATTTGAGTGCCAACCTGGAATGTTAAATTACTCCACTTTCTTTTTTACTTGAATGTTTGGTGATGCTTAGGTGATAGCAACTTATCTGAATAACATTGTTGTATTTCACTTAATTATCAAAACTAACTCGTTAACTATCCAATACTTAACATCCCCAATCTATTTTTCTGACATCTATCTTTACAACCTTGTCAACTGCATCTTTACCTCGAAGAAAGAAGAAAAGGAAGAAAAGAAGAGAAGAGAAGAGAAGAGAAAAAGAGCGGAAAAAGCAAAAGAAGAAAAAGAAGGAGAAGAAGAGGAGTATAGGTTGTCTGCATTTCTACTGCTTTAGGCCCAAGATTCCGAGTTTGATGACTCAACAGCCATGTGTAATAAAATCACAATATGCTTAGAATCAATCACTTTATGTAATATCAAAATATTACTTACATATTATGCATTGTAAAATAATCAGTTCACATTCATTCCTTTCCTACAGATGTCACAATGAACAGTTTATATTTTACACCTCACACGACTAGCTGTCCTACACTTGCCGTCACAGCCGAAACCTATGCTAATAATTGGTACAAAAATACATTCTTCTGTGCTTGTTCTAAGGTTAGTAAAATACAGAAGAGAGAAAGACAATGCCAAATAATTATAATTATAATAAAAAAAAATTATCTTTTTCTAGACAGACAATGATTCTTATTTTCCACACACCCATATTAAAAGAAAATGTAAAATGTTAGCATAATATGAATCAACTGCTTCACCATCACTGAATGCAACAAGTAAAATAAAATCATTACCATCTACTGTTTAAAACACTAAAAAATTACACAAACCCCATGTATCTGAGTATGGAAGATCAATCAGTTGACTTGCAGCATTATCTACTGTAAAATATAAAATATAATCAATATACTATACAGTCATATCACCCATTGAATCTGACTAATAAAAAATACTGCTATGAATAATGGCCAAAAAGATGCATAAAAAAATGGATTATAAAAATTAAATATCTTATAAAAGAGTGTGCCCATACAAGAGAATAATCCTATATCTAAATCATTTGTAACTCTTCAAAATTCCACAAACATCCTGAGACACAAAGCTAACTACTTATACTTAAATCATGTTCCCTGTTATTTCCTGAAAGGCACGTAAAATCTGAACGCTGAAAGTGGATGCATACAAACTGCTTTGTAATGGAACAATATTCCTCTCCTTTTTGGACATACTCTTTCTCCTTAGTAATCTTGCTACTCTTGGTAAGAAATCTACAATAACTTAGGTATAAAATTTTCCTGTCATAGAAATAGATAGGAATTGCAGGAAAAACATTCATTAGTGTAGGAAGAAAAGTACAGTCGTTTCATCTATTGGCAAATCGTAAGTAATGCTAAACCTTGTATCTGAGTCTATTGCAGTCCCTGTCGAGCCATTTCAAGGACCTTCTGAGTTGACCCTGTGGAACCAAAACATTGTGTTGAAGTTATACTAGTGCTAAATATCAAAAGAATAGTGATGAATATTCTCTATCAATTCTTGACTTATCTAGGGAAAAACATCCATATCAAAATAATAAAATCATCATTCTGTATATCCATGATGATTTCAAAGTTGAATCATGCATAAGCTAGCTGAAACAGGATGAATTGTTACCTTCAT